TTAAACCATAGTCTCAATAATTTTAGAGACTGTGACAGTAAAGATTTGTTCTTGCTCATGGTAGATGTTCACCATAGCTTAGCTTGGACCTCTGTTACCTGACTCCTCAATCAGGGATCCAAACTGATGCATTCTGCACACCATCTGGGGTATCGCTCATTGCTGGGTTGCAGGAAAGGCAATATGGCAGATCACACACTCACTATGGCTTCCAGTTGGAAGAAACACGCACAATTTCCATTTGCATTTCATTGCCAAGCAAGTCACCATGTGCAATCCTCCATGTGCCTAGAAGAAAAGATTCAATTTTAGTGAGGAGGCATAACAACTACCACATTGGTTAAAGAACCCTGAAATAGGTGATCTCTAAATTCTTTTGAAATTCAAGGCTGCTTTGAGCTCAGATTTAATTTATAATTTATTTATTCATAGTTTAGCCAGGACATCTATATCTTTAAATGATAGGTACCAATTCCCCTTCAATCAGGTGGCTATCTCTGTAACCAGAACAAGAGTGAACTTTCCCCCAGTAAGTACTAGTAGAAGTTTTTAGACTATTACTTTAACTTTGAATGAGAATTGAGGAAATGAGTAATTTTCTGCCCAGTTTCTCTAGGGGCTTATGTGTAAGAGAGAAGAGCAAGTTCCCCATGAGCAAAGTTGTATCAACAGCTTGCACATAATGTAGTTGGACCAGACAGTGGTTAATATCCCTCCCAACCCTGAGATTTTGTGTTCTAGGTGGGTGACTACTACTTTATATTATTAAATATCAAGTGACCCGATTTTAGAATGGCCAAGTCAGGCAGGTCTCAGGGAAAGGATATCTAGAAATGGAGACATGGAGATGGTCTTAGCTACCGTGTTTCCCCGAAAATAAGACACTATCTTATATTTATTTTTTCTCAAGAAGACACACTAGGGCTTATTTTCAGGGGCTCTCCACACCAAAATGCATGGCTAAGTCATATTATCAGGGTAGGGCTTATATTTAACAAATGCATAGAAATCCTGCTAGGGCTTATTTTTTGGGTAGGTCTTATTTTCGGGGAAACATGGTAGAGAATGTCAGGCCAGATAGGCTGGCAGAGCTCTCAGGCATCATCAAATGCTGACAACTGAACGGCAGCTCCCAGCAACTCCAGCCTCTTCATAAGCTCTACCAGGCCCATTTTTCTTAACTATAAACGTGACATTTTCTCCCTCTTATGGAAAGTGCTGTTGAAAGGCAGCTGCAGGATGAGTCCCCATGTCAGCCTCCTCCAGCTAGATTAGCTCCCTTCGTGCCTCCTTTATAGAAAGTCTGTGTTGCTACTGACCGTCACTGGATAGTGTGAAAGCTGAAGCCCAGAGAGGGGCTGTCACTTGCTTAACTCAGACCTGTCAGAGGCAGGGGCAGCCATCCCTTTCTTTGAGACCTATGACTATAAGATTCAAATGCCCTTTGACAAGTTTGGGGCCTCATTTTGATCAAAAGATCACCCAAGAAATGGTATTTCTGGATTGTTGACGTTGAAATATTCTACGTCATCTTTTATTTTTCTTTATTCAGAAAATAGAATTTGGCCTCTATTATTGTGAGGAAAGGTTATGCTCATTCAAAATCGCCTGCCTGGGGCAGCACCGTGACTCAGTGAGTAGGGCGCCGGCCCCATATACCGAGGGTGGCGGGTTTGAACCTGGCCCTGGCCAAACTGCAACAACAACGACAAAAAAAAAAAAAAAAAAAGCCAGGCATTGTGGCAGGCGCCTATAGTCCTAGCTACTTGGGAGGCTAAGGCAAGAGAATCACCTAAGCCCAACAGCCGAAAGCTGCTGTGAGCTGTGACACCACAGTACTCTACCAAGGGTGACAAAGTGAGACTCTGTCTAAAAAAAAATAAAATCCCCTGCCTAGCCAGGCACAGTGGCTCACACCTATAATCCTAGCAGTTTGGAAGGCTGAGGAGGGAGAATTGCTTGAAGCCAAGAGTTCAAGGCCAGCCTGAACAACATTGTAAGACCCCATCTCTACAAAAATGAAAAAAGTTAGTTGGCTATAGTATTAGACACCTGTAGTCCCAGCTACTCAGCAGGCTGAGGTGGGAGGACCTACCACTTAAGCCCACGAGTTCGGATCTACAGTGAGCTATCATTGCACCACTGTGCTTTAATCTGGACAGAAGAGTGAGACCGTCTCTAAAAAAAACAAAGCAACAAAACTTCTGCCAGCTTAAGGAGATTTATGGACTCACATCTTAACGCCACTCACTTAGGGTTCACTCAGCCTGATGATGACTTTGCTAATCGTTTCTACCCTTTCTGCTTCTTTTTTTTTTTTCAGATCTGATTAAATGTATTATGGCAGACTTTTTAAAGAATCAGAGTTTTCAGGATAGCGACCTTTTCGTTCTTTTGCAGTTCCCTATCAGCAGAATCCTTACAATCCCCGGGGCAGCTCCAACGTGATCCAGTGCTACCGATGTGGAGACACCTGCAAAGGGGAAGTGGTGCGTGTGCACAACAACCACTTCCACATCCAGTGCTTCACCTGTCAAGGTAGGAAGCCCCGTTTCTCCACTCTCTTCTCAGACTCCAAACCGTGCTCTCCCTCACTGCCAGGACACTCACGAGCAGGAAGAACAAACACAGGCCATTTAGGCCTACAAAGGCCCAAAGCCTCTTAGGAGATTCTCTGTTGTGTGTAGTAAAGAGGGAGCTTAGAGCAAGACTGTTGTTGGGATGTGAGGGAAGCGAAGGAGCCTGGTAACCCCACAGGTAGGTGCGGACCCAGAAGAAGTGAGGCCGTCCTACAAGTTTAACTTCAACATCTGAAAAGACTCCTGGCTTGGGCCTATAAATTAATTTGAGAGTGAATGAAAGTGCAAGCTACTTTGACAAAAATGGCTTGCCCACTTTGTCAAGCAATTAACAAGGAAGAAAGAAGAGACATTTTGACTTTAGTAAAGTTTATAATTTGGAAACAGATAGGTTTTTGGGTTTCCTCTCACTGTTATAGCACCCATAGCTAATTTATAGAATCCTAGACTCAGTGGAGATAAGATTTCCTAAAGAAGAAGGCTCACTCACAGCAGAAAGGAAGGAGCATTCAGCTGGGCCCAGGGCAGCACTCCTTTCCACAGTGTCCCCAACAAATACCTCTCCAGCCTCCACCTCTTAACCCCTTTTTCCAGACTTCCCTGTTCCACAAGCAGCCATTCTGATGCTGGATTGCCTTGTGGGTTTAGAAAATGTGTGACCCCAAATCTATAATTCCCTGTTGCTCTTACATTTGTCCTCAACAAGTCTGAAGAATGCTTTGTGTTTGCTTTCCTCTGAGACTGCCCTTCAGATACTACTGATAGCCAGGTCTTCCCCGTGTCAAACTGTATGTCAGCCTCTTAAATTGGGCCTCATATGAAATGACTCCAACTGTGTCATCATCTGGAGTCTTCCCCTTTGATCCATTCTAGTGTGTCACTATCATCCTTAAAGCCCAGAACAGAGCTCCGTTCTCAAGGTCTGGCAAATACAGAAGCACTACCTTCCTGTTAAGGTAACTGATATTGAATTGACTTCCTGAGGAGCCACTTTACACCACTGACTTACATTGACTTTAAGGTCAATTGAAACCCCCAGACTTTTTTATATAGGTAACTGCCTCAGTCTCATGCATCTGAGATTGACTTCCCCAGCCACCAAGAAACTCCTGGACTTCGTTCTTCATGATCTAACTAGACTGCATTGAACAAAAAAATTACTTATTCATATGCCCTAATTTGTTTATAGAAGCATATAAGGGATATATTTTAATTTATGTGATTTAAATTTTATATTGAGATTGGGTAAACCCCTCCGATACAAGTTGAACTGTAAGAGTATCTGGTGAGTGACTGTTTTTAAAGTCTCGGAAATTCAGACAGGACAAAGGGTAAAGACAATAAAATTGTTACAAAGTAGTTTAGGGTATAACTTTGCAATTATATTCTAAGAGAGTATATCAGTTACCTTTTGCTTAAGCTAAAACTTAATAGCTTAACCCAATCTTTTATTTAGCTCATGATTCTCTGGGGATGGGGGAAGTGCTTCTAGTCTGAGCTGGCTCTGCTTAGATCTACTGGCCTCCTTACAATGATATGCAGTCAGCTGGTGCGTCTACTGGCAATGATTGGCAAGCTGCTAACCTGGGCCACTCCACATGGCTTCTCATCCTCCAGCAGGCTGGCTTGGGCTTGTTCATATGGTGGTGTCAGAGCTCCAAGTGCAAGGAGACAGTAAACTTCAATAAGTAAGATCTTTTCAAGCCACAGCTTGTGTCACACTAAATAGTGACCTGCTGTCACCCAGAACAAGTCAAATGGCCAATCCAGACTCAAGGTCAGGGAGAAGTAAACTTTGCCTTTTGTGAAGGGATCTGCAGCGTCAGATTTCAAGGGTGTAAATGCAGAGAAAAGAGTAATTTGGCCATTTTGACACAGAGAGTTTATAGAATCTCTTCCAATGGAAATTTTAAGGAAGGAAAATAAAGGCCATTATTTTTCTGAATATTTTCAATGTCAACTTGCTTAAAGATAAAACAAATGAAGGGATTTGTGTTTCCAGTAATAACCAGTATAGAGATTAGTTGCCCTAGATAGCCTTTCAATTAAAGAGTCTAAACTTTTTGTGAATTTCTTTCAAACTCTTTCAACATGGCCTACTGTGCTGACATGAAAGGAAGTAATCTGCAGAGGTCAAAAAGAAAAGAAAAGCAGAAATGCTGCTGTGACTACCAATGGCATATTTCATTCTGGTAACTGATGGAGACCTTGGAGACCTTGAGCATTTTACCCTGATGCCTAAATAGATCATGGAAATGGGAGGTAAAGCCAAGAGCCTGGCCAGAGTGGGAATCTAATAGGACACCTCTATATGAAATTGAGGCTTCACCCTGAAAACATTTTGCTCTCAGTATATGATGTATGAGAAATAAAATGGCTATGGAGAAGGAGTCAGCAAGGAAATTTTCCTGTCCCAACTCTGTCACTGGTTAGAGGGGAATAAAACTTACATGAAAATGTCTATCCATAATTCACCTTTTACATCATTCATAAACTACATTCATATTATGTATTTGATGTAAATTGTTTTTAAAATAAAGTCAAGTAGAAAATTTTAAATGGTCCTCCAGAAGCAAATAATAATACTCTTTGGAAGAACTCCACTTTACTCCAAACCTCAAAGAATTCCCACAGATGATGTTATTAGGAAAACGAGTAACTCGCACTCAAAACCACACAAATCATAACTGAGCGAGAGCCGGCAGAAACAATGAAAAATAGAATCAGAATCAAAACCTCGAAGACTTTTTATATTGAAATTCTCTGTCATTATATAACTATAAAATCAATGCATTTGAAAAATTAAGAGAAGCTAGAAAATCTGAGCAAAAGACAAACAACACATTATAAGAAGTAGCACAGAAGATTTGAAAAAGAAACAAAATTTTTAGAAAGAAAAATATATAGTCTTTGAAATTAAAACTCAATAAGTAAATGAAATAGCAGATTAGATGGTCCTGAAAAATTAATAAACTAGAAAATTTAACTAAAAACTGTTACATAGATATAGCTCAGAAACATAAGAATATAAAAATACAACATTGTGTTGCAGTTAGTGCTATGTTTATTAGGTAAGAAAAGGATACAAAAAACATCCGACTTAAAAGGGAAGAAGTCAAACTATCTCTATTGTCACATAACATGATCTTGTATAGCAAATTCTAGAGAGTGGACTAAAAAACTATCAGAACCAATAAACAAGTTAATCATGGTTTTAGGATACAAGATCAATATACCAAATCAATTGCATTTCTATACACTAGCAACAAACAACCTAAAAATAAAATTGAGAAAACAATTCCATTTACAAGAACATCAAAAAATACATAGGAATAAGTTTAACAAAAGATGTGCAAAACTTACACTATGAAAACTACAAAATATTAAAGAAGATCTAAATAAAAGAAAGGTCATCTTGTCTTCATGGAACAGAAGATTTACTGTTGTTACGATGGCAACTCATTAGACTGATCCACAGATTTAATGCCATCTTAGCTCAGGCTGCCATAACAAATACCATAGATGGGGTGGCTTAAACAAAATAAATGCATTTTCTCACAGTTCTGGGGACTGAGAAGTCCAAGACTGGGGAGCCAGCAAGGTTAGAGATTGGTGAGGACTCTCTTCCTGGCTTGGAGATGGCTGCCATCTTGCTGTTCCTTCACATGGCAGAGAGAGAGAGAGGAAGAAAGAGGAAAAGAGAGGAGAGAAGTTGGACTCTTTCTTCCCACCTACATAAAAATCAATTCATAATGGACCAGAGACCTAAATGTAGGAGCTGAAACTATATAATTCTTAGGAAAAAATATAAGAATAAATCTTTATGACCTTGAGTTGGGCAAAACTTTCTTAGAGGTTATGCCAAAAACCCAAGCAACAAAGGAAAAATATATACATTAGACATCATCATAATTTAAAACGTTTGTGCTTCAAGATACTCCACCAAGAATGTAAAAAAAAAAAAAAAACGTACAGAATGGAGAAAATATTGGCAAATAACTAATAAAACACTTGCCTTTAGGCTATATATAGAATTTGTACAACTTAATAATAAAAAATAACAATTTCAAAGTGGGCAAAGGATCTGAATAGACATTTCTCCAGAGAAGTTATACAAATTTCCAGTTAGCACATGAAAAATTGCTCAACATTGTTTGTCATCAAAGAAATGCAAATCAAACCACAATGAGATACCATGTCATATCCAGTAGAATAGTTATGATCAAAAAGACAGTTCATACACCTGATGTTGACATGGATGTGGTGACACTGGAACCCTGAGGCATTGCTAGTGGAAATGCAAAAAAGTACAGCAGCTTTGGAGAAGAGGGTGGCAGCTCATCAAAAGGTTAGACTTAGAGTTATCCTATAATTGAGCAATTCCAAGTTCCATTCCTAGCTATATACTCAGGAGAAATGAACGTACATGAATGTTTGTGGAAGGCCAGGTACGGTGGCTCACCTGTAATCCTAGCACTTTGGGAGTCCAAGGTGGATAGATTGCTTGAGCGCAAAGATCCAGCCTGAGCAAAACTGAGACCCTGTCTCTATGAAAAATGAAAAACTGAGGCAAGAGGATCGCTTGAGCCCAAGAGTTTGAGGTTACTGTGAGCTATGATGCTACAGCACTCTACCAAGGACGACAAAGGGCAACACTGTATCAAAAAAAAAGAAAATGAATGTTCATGGTAATATTATTCATAGCAGCCAAAAAGTGGGAAAACTCAATTACCCATCAATGAATGAATGAATAAATTAAATGTAGTATATCCTTACCATGGGATAATATAGGTCACCAAAGGCTACATATCATGTGATTCCATATATATGAAATGTTCAGAATAGACAAATATAGAGAGATAGACAGTAGATTAGTAGTTACCTAAAGCTAGGGAGTTTGGAGAAAAATAAGGAATGATTTCTAATGGATTTGTGGTGTGTTTTGGAGGTGATGAAAAT